CTCGGCACAGCCAACTAGTAAGGGTTGTCACATCAACAGAACGTGCCAATTCGTCACTAGCACTGCACGCCGGTGTGTTGGAGAGCCAAGCCACAACATTTACAATCTGAGTACGACGTTTCGCAAGTAATTACAACTAGCTTCATGAGGCGACAGTCAGATTTGTGGAGAAGTCCACCTGTTTTGTTCCTTCTATAGAGGCGTGGATGTGGTGACCACGCTTCTGCGCTCTTGTACAATGTGGGAGGGGGGGGGGATTACTGAGGCAATGTACATTATGCATGTGCATTATGCAAGCCCTTTGATCTTGTCTTTCCTGTCTTATTGTGTGTATTAAAATAGCCGTACCAATGGTAATCCCTATTGAAGTATGGTGCCCTTTATTGGCATGTATTATTTGATTATTCGCTTCCACGCAGCACTAAGGCGGTAGCTATCGGAAGGGTTAAAATTATTTGTATTCATTTCAATTTCGATAGATTATCTAATTAGTCTTGGCCAGTAGTAGCTACAAGATGATATTGGTCGCGAAAGCCGACATGTTAAACTGTTTGTCTTCTGGGAGACTTTTCAAGATCACTTGGTTGAGCTATCATTTGTGGCCATGTCGCTAATAAAAAAATATAACAAAGTTCTATGGGCTTTATCTGATAAATAAAACATTGTAAATAGTTAATTCGAATGTAATTTGTTCTGAAATGAACACATTACATTTATCAATAATATTGTGCCGCTAAACGGAAAACATAATGCAGCGTTTTGGACAATGGCCCTTATTAATAGTGGAGCGATAAAAGGTTGATTTATATATTTTTTAAATGTCATTGCTTATAATATTGACAAACTACGGAATTTAAATTCATACACAATTGCAGACCTGATCAGAGTTCTAATCCCATCATTCCTAAGAGGTTAATATGGGAAGACTGACATTCTTTTCTCTGGGTCTGTGGACTCTCCACAACTGGATTTGGGTCACTAATGTACATGGATGCAGTGACAATGCTCATTTGAACCTTGTCGCAGGACCCCGGGGTCCCGCCATAAGGTTCATTTCAGCACAGAGACTATTTGGATTTTTTTATTTTCTTTAAAAAAATTATTACCTCGAAACCTCATTAAAGTCGACATGACCTTAGCATGAGAACTGGTCGCACTACACAATTGGGAGGCATCCAAAATGCCACAGTGGGGAAACTTGGCACACATTGACAACAGCTGAATGGAGTACGTGGCAATTTGCTGACATTGAATCTTGACCTTGACAACTCTGACAACTAATTTCAGAAATGGCTTGCAAACACATACACACATTCCTCACTCTACCTCATCTCTCGCCTCATTCTTGATGACAATGCCTGCCGGACTGTTCAAGGTTTTTCTTATCAGGGATACTTTGTCTATAGTACAATACAATAATACAATGACTGTTGCACAGTGAGCCACATGGAACACTTAAGGAGCCACTCAGTCCTGTTCGTGCTGCCTTGGCCTCACTTCTTAAGGCTATTGTGGAAATTCAAGCCGAGTCTACTTGACCTGTTCATGAAGTAGCCTGTCTCACTTTCCAATGGTCATGGGGACATGGCATTTGTAGGGAGGAGAGAGATGACTGCTCACGATGCCCCTTTGTCTTTCGTTGTAAATACACAGGACTTCTTCACAGGGCTGGCTTGGGCCCAACATGGCACGTAGAGACACAATGATTTGAATTCACACTCTCGCTTGTGAGTGAAGTTGGCAGCTCTGAAACCATCCTCCCTCCCAGGTTGAAAACAACTCAGGAATTTACAGATCCTTGCGATATACTACGTCATCGGAGTCTTCGTCTTTAGAGAACATTTCTTCGCCACCTAGAAATGAACATTAAAATCTGAATATTGGGCAATGCATTGCATTGCTTTCAATACAGTTGATGTTTATCAACATATTCCCCCAACCTGGAACTACGTAGTGTTCGCTTATAATAATAGCAGGCCAAGTAGAGACAGTCTGGTGTTGAACAGACACAAACATGATGGTAATAATACAGTAACATAATATCCATATCACATTTTGAAAACAGGTAATAACATTTTAATATACCGCAAGCTGATTTCCACATCTCCAGATTGGACGAATGTTGAATGCTTTATTGCGAGATTCCCGTTGTGACATGAGAAAGGCAGTCTTATAAGAGATCACACAAACAAGATTAGCATTATAGAGAAGAGTATCTATACATTTAAAATGGTAATCTTTTATCCAAATGTAAGTGATGGCTCGGATGACTGTTGTCAGTTTCAACTGTGAAGCGGATCTCTTTTGATGATGAAAGCAAGACAATTGTGTTTGATACCCAACGTCATATTTCGGCAATCCAGTGGATTACATAAATCTGGTCGATGGTCGCAAAACATTTATCAAGTGATGTTGGCTAATACCTTCCATAAAGGACGGAGAGATTATTCTACACTTTTACAATTAATTGACTTCACAAAGAGAGTAGACAAATGAGATAAGGAGTGAGACAGCGTGGATATTCTCGCTAGAAGGTTCTTCAGAGAAACTCTTCCAAATTGTTTCAGGTAACGAGATAAATGAATGCACTGGACACGCTGGACAGACACTGTGGTGGTTTTGTTTGTGTCGAGATACGCTTACAAGTCCGGTACAATGCCCCTGGGGTGGGGGGGGGGCTTCTGGGGAGGGGGACAGAAAAACCGCGATGGGAAAGGGGGAGGGGGGAAAGGGGGGGATGGGGAAAGGGGAGGAGGGGGAATGGGTGGGGAGGGGGAAAGGGTGGGGAGGGGAGAAGGGTGGGGAGGGGGGAAGGGTGGGGAGGGGGGAAAGGGGGGGGAGGGGAAAGGGGGGGGAGGGGAAAGGGGGGGGAGGGGAAAGGGGGGGGGAGGGGAAAGGGGGGGAGGGGGGAGGGGAAAGGGGGGAGGGGGAAGGGGGAAGGGGGGAAGGGGGGGAGGGGTAAGGGGGGGAGGGGGAAGGGGGGGAGGGGCAATAGGGGGAGGGGTACGGGGGTGAGGGGCTTTCCAGCTGCGCTTGCAGGAGTCTCGGGGTGGACAACAACATTGCTCGGTGCCCATACAGAGAGGGGGGGGGGGTCCTCCGATAGGTGGGGGTAGAGGACGAGTGCTGTGCTTATGGGGGGGGGCAGGGGGAAAGAGGGGAAACCGCAACCAACATTCTCGGGGTAGAATGTTGGTGCGGGCCAGGAGGCACAGTGGTTTTCAATCAGTGCTTGCCACAGCATCAGAGGCGTGGACGCTGACGAAGGATTTGGGACAACAGCTGAGAGATACAGCTGCGGCGGGGCGGTGGGGGCAGGGGGGGGGACATATCCAGGTGCAAACAAACATAAAGATATGCTCGATTGAAACGACTCGTGGCGAAAGAGCGAGCGGGGGCCACACGCGTGTCAGGGAACAGATGCAAATCGGAGGCATGTTGTTGGTTATGGAGGAGGTGAGTGGCCACTGTTGGGGCACACGTGGGGAAAAGATGATGGCTCGCGAACAAGGCGAGTGATGGAATGGCAGCCAAAGGACAGGATGTGTCCGAGGAGATGGCCACCGAGGAGATGGAGAGATGAAATGCGTTTGTGTGCAGGAGCAAGAGTGGCTGTGGGATTACAGGACCACGATGGATTGTATCGATGGGAGGAGCTCTTCATCCAGCTGTGGATGGACAGTAGATGATGAGAATTAAATAATCGCTAATAATTCCCAGATTAGTAATGTAATTTAAATATATTTGTACACACACTTGAACATTTCTTTATATATCACTGTTCAGTGGTATTCAATTAAATTGATTCACTGCTTTGTGAAACGAAGCACGTTCCAATTATTTTCATCCTACAGATAATATCCTGTCCCATTGCCACGACTGTGGCGTGTTACATGACAGACTGTATATTGCTCCGGAAATTTCCAAAAGCAACCACTTTGGCATCTGATGCCGATGAACTTGAAATCACGTTCAAAACATGATCCTGCAAACAAACCCAAACATGATTCCTTCTGGGTTAGACCGCCTGTACACAATAAAAAAAAAAACACTGATGTGCTTCAATCCACAGACAGAGGTCTGTGTGCTGCTATAAATTGTACCCAAAGTAGCAATATTTTAAGACTGAACGGATGAAAAAGAACGTTCTGTATACATTTGAAACCCATTCCGAAAGGCAACAAATGTGGACGTTTATGTAAGGTAAACATCGTCGTAATACGCTTTGATGTAACCCTTCTGTTGGTGCTTGTCATGAAGCTGTTTGTCGTCGGTGCTCGCAGGCGGCACGGAGATCGCTGCAGCCTTGAAACATCGGTCCAGCAGTGCTGCACGTTGGCCAGTAGAATGCAGTACAGAAAATAGATTGGTGACCTAGCTATCGCTACTGGTACTAAAGACGAGAACCTATCTCGTAACAGTATGGCACTCGATAGCTCCGATTTAGGTAACTATTCACATGCCTATTAAAAAAAAAAAAAACTTGTCATCAAGGAACCGTCTTTGAATTGTAAATCTCGCAAGGTCCAGCCTTGGTGTGAAGTGTAGTATCCAATCCTCGTGAACCTTGTCTCTGACAACTCCTCGGTGTGCCGTGAAAAAGGGCCATCGCTTAAAACATCCCTGATTATACATTTTTTAAGCCATTATTGACGAATGCGGTGAATATATGGATAAAATCAGTACTGAGTGTCCCTTTTTTGCATCTTGATTTACCTGGATGCAACGGTTTGTTCTCATGCAAATTACTCAACGAGGCATTGGTCAAGCACCTTGGGCATCACTAAAGGTTGTCTTGAGACTCAGTGAAGCCTCGTGAATAAATATTTATAATTGTTAGTTTTAATATCGTAATTTGCCAGTGCTCCGTGCATGCTTCCCATTACAAACGATTCAGTCTGTGAAAGAAGCGCGAGGTGCGGGCGATTGAGAGGCGCTCGTTTGTTGATTAATTTCAAGTGCTCTCGCTGCTGCTGCTGCTGGTGCCTATGTTCCCTCAGGCAGCGGCAGCGATGCGGCCTCCCTGCTGACCATGGCCTCTCGGCAAGGAGATCACTACGTCCTCAACGGCTCCAAGGTGAGCACGCGAAGCGCCGCTTGCAGTGAGCTTTTAGCATCGCGGCTTTGCCGTGTCCAGCGGTGTTGTCGCGGGGGGTGCGTGCACGCAAACATCCTTGCGACGTCTTGGTTCTTTCGGTAAGGTCACGGAGAAGGGAAATAATAAAATAATAAAAATAAAACATAATAAAATAAAATTCTCACGACGTTTCGGCCACAACACAAGCAGCCGTCTTCAGGGTGAAGAAACAGAACTGTCGGGAGGACAGCATTCCAATGAACACTGCTGAGCTTGGCAGCGTCTTTTAAGCTGGGTGGGAGGAGCAGAGAGCCTTGACAAAGGAGTTTACATATCAACAGAAGAATTTAGCATTGAAGTAGCTGTGTTAATGTGATAGATTAGCAGGATGTTAAAGTCAGAAATTAGCATGTAAGTGGGAAATTATATTAAACATTACACTGAAAGGTACTAAAAGATTAGCAGGATGTTAAAGTGAGAAATGAGCATGTAACTGGGAGATTAGCATGATGTTAATGTGAGGATTTAGCATGTAACTGGTCACGGAAGTGGCTGTGTTAAAGTCAGAGTTTACACATCAGCAGAGGCATTTAGTATATTAATGCTAAAGAACTGCAACTACCCACCTATCATACAAAATTCAGCGTACAGCACTTTTGGCCTACGCATTTTTCAGTCCACTGAATGGGTTTTAGGAAGTGTCTGGAGAGAGAACTTTTATACAGGCCTTTGCACATACTTGTTATACGTTTTTGTTCACATGCGGACACATGATATGGAGTTTCACAAATATGCTTTGACCTGTGCTGTTTCCAGTTTTTTTTAGACTAGCTCTATTGTGCGTCCTTTTTAATAGAATGCAAAGTTAGTGTGTCGTAGTACTCATGTTTAAAATGTGTCTGTGCTGCACCTAGGTTAGCTCAACCTAAAAATGAATAGCCAGTGCCGAATGTCCACTTTAGAAATGTAGAGCCAAAAGCAGCTTTAGTCTGGTGCTGTACAGCCCTCACTGTCATGTGCTCTGAGAACCTCGGTAGGTGCTCGCTAACATTCAGAGACCCACCACTAAATGGAGTTTTTGTGTGAATGAGGGAAACAACTGCATTTGCAGAACTCAAATAAATTCGTTTAACACATAGGCTTTCACGACCAATATCCATAATTCAGATTTTGTAGGTTAGATTGCGTTAATATAAATGTGTAGATTTACTTTATTTTTTCATAAATCTGGGTGTTGCGTGATGATGCTAGTTGTAATTACTGGCGAAACGTCGTACTCAGATTGGAAATGTTGTGGCTTGGCTCTCCAACACACTGGTGTGCTGTACTAGTAACCAATTGGCATGTTCTGTTTACATAACAAACCTTAATAATTGGCTGTGTCGAGTGGTGGCGGGTTTAACGACAGATTTATATTAACGCGATCTAACCCAAAAAACCTGTATTATAATATAAATCCATCTACGCAAAAACGACAGCATTTACTGCAGGGCAAAGCTTATGTTTATAGGCATACATGTGCTTAGGACACACAGAGAACACAATTGTACGTTGTTTAGCCATAATTATCGTTTATGCACGCATGTCTATGGTGCACATATATACATATTGCCATCAATAAATAAATAGCATTTGGTTGGCCGTACTGCAGTGTTAGTGCACGAATAACGTGGATTGTAAGTAAACCATGTCCGATGTAAATGACATTTTAATTATTGCACTGTTGTATGGTGGTGGTACATAGCTCAATGTCAGAGGCAACATTCCCCACACTTGACAATAAACGAGTGCACGAGAGGTTTAAACTATTTGTATGGAGCCACCGTCAAACACAATGCCCTGGCAGAGCAGTCATGATTCTCAAGCACGTTACGGGGCATTGAATTGCATTGAATGACGTCACAGGTCTCTTGTGTTGATTTGCAATGAGATCAATATATTGGTAAAGTTTTCATATAGGGTGTTATTGTAAAAAAAAAACATCATTGTCTAGGGTCTTGTTAAACAAATATAATAGCAAGGGACAGACACTACACAAAGGGCAATTCAGATGAGTGGAATAGATTTTCGTGAAGCATGCTGTGCTCACTGCGCTATATACATTGCATGCCAACATTGAGGCATGGTTGTCCTATGGCTTTTCTCTAGAAAGACTGGCCCATACCATAGACACGTGGGCTTTCCACCACTGGCTTAGTGGGCCACCTAACTTAACATTGAAACGGGTTGAGGCCATCGCTAATGCCGCAACTCATAACCAACTGAAAAGGAGTCAATTCGCAGCCATGACTTGTCACTGTTTGTATTTAATAGGCCCATAATTGATCATGGTGCTGATAGTTGCCCCACCAGCAATTGCATATATATGTAAATACTTCCAAACAAAAAGTCACTGACATGTAAAAAAAAATCGCTTTTGTTTTGGAGGAGGAAAAGCGATAAATGTCATCTGTTCTTGGCCTGCTTCCCATAGTTGATGTGGAAAAATTGAATGTGGGTGTTGTAAATGGAGAAATAAGGTCACCAGTGCCCCCAGCGTGAGGCACAAAGGGCTCCACAAGATAAATTGGAGGTCAAGACCGAGCTGTTTATTTTCCCCCAGCCGTTCCCTTCAAATTTAATTCAAATTTCTCATGCCTATTGCCAGAGGTCAGTGTACAATGAAAAGCCATGTTGCTGAACACTTGTGAAGGTTAGGGTTAAGACTTTGCCATGAATTTTCGAGCAGAGGAATGTTTACTATTCTTTGCTGATGTCCTTTAGCGGCCCTGTGCGGTAAATGTGATTTTTACGGTAAATTGTTTTTGTTGGCATTTTCTGGACTTCGCAAATGTAGGTATTCTAAAATTAAATCCAGTTTTATTTTTTTTATGTCCGAAATGTTCGTCCGAGATATATTATTACCAGGGGTTGAGTGGTGGTACAGCGGGCAGCGCACTCCACTAAACAGTCAGCAACCTGAGTTCGATTCCCAGTCATGACTGACATCAGTGGAGATTGATATCAGAGGCAGCTATGGGCCCCCGTTCACCAAATGGCATTGGTCAAGTAACAACCATGATTGACAAGATGTGGGGTGGAGACCTTTTCGACGAGCAGTGGTTTTGAAATTGTCTTATTACGTTTGTGCAGAGCACACACTATGTATTTACATACCATATGTGTGTAATAATTAATTTTCTTTAGTATACCATGGGGAATGGTGGCATAGTGAGTTAACCACCTGTTTTGCAATCACGACTACCCGGGTTCACTTCTTGAAAAGAAGCAACATAAGTGGCAAGTGCTTCATAAACGTTGCCTTGGCCTCTTGCGTGAATGCCGTTACTGGCTTATGAATTATCAGCAGAGGAGAGGCAAGAGACGCCAGGAGTGTTTGCTGCTGACGGCTCGAGTGATTTGCGAGTAGCGTACGAATGTGGGTAAACTTTTGACCGTGACCGTACAAATGGCCCGGTGTCTTTTCGAATAACATCGCGGGATCTTTAATTTAACACGTAGGCTTTCGCGGCCAATATCATCCATAATAGAGGTTTTTGGGTTAGATCGTGTACATATATAAATGTGTCGTTAAAACCCGCCACCACCCGACACAGCCAACTAGTAACGGTTGTCACGAAAACAGAACGTACCAATTCGTCACTAATACAGCACACTGGTGTGTTGGAGAGCCAAGCCACAACATTTACAATCTGGCTGTCGCATGATGAAGCTAGTTGTAATTTACTGGCAAATCGTCGTACCTCGCCCGCAGTACTAACCCGAGGTGGCCGCTGAGCTTGAACCGCTAAACCTCTGCAGCAAGCGGCAAATTCGCTGCCACGTGGCCGAGGGACAGCCGAGGATTTCGTTTTGTGCGTGCTGCAAAAACACGCGAGTTGCACAATGGCCGGTTGATGTGAGCGTCGGTTGGGGCATCACCACTTACCAAGGAGACCTGCCAGGTTCCATAGACTCACATGGAGATCCATGGATTGACACAGAGATCTATGGACCCAAGTGATTTCACTTAACGTGATTGCATCAAGAAAGACGGCATCGCGGTGGTATTGAAACAACACTTTTTCGTGTCGCCAGAAGACATGCGTTTCGCGTGCTCACGCTCACGAATCGTGTTTTGAAGTTTATTTGCATTGCGATTAACAACGCGACAGCCTGCGCGTTACATGGGAGCTTGGGCAAGGGACACAAATGGGGCTTGTTTGGACTTGTCTGATTTTTAACCATGCACATCACCATTCATTGAGCATACACAAATCTGTGCCGTTAACAGGAGAGTTCTAATTTCTTTGCCTATGAAGGGCTGGTCTAGTGGAGTGTTATTTGTACGGTGGCCTGCCAGCATACTCCCACTCGGTACATCGGAACACCGTCCTGTGGCTGCCAGTTGTGCGTTTGTTAGTAAGCCGGGGACATTGATGGCATTACTGCTATGCGATGTCATATACCCTTGTAAAAAAAAAATGCGTGCCTCACACATTTTCTCACAATGCTGGCCAAACACCTTGTAAGAGGTGGGAGTACTCACACTTTACCCCACCGCACACGAACCTGCCATTCGACTGGGGGGCAGGGGATAGGGGGCGATTTAATACATCCCGTAATCGTTTCAACTGCCTTGCCTTTAGATCAAACCAGGTGGCCTCTGCAGTACAAATAAAATAGGTGAGTGTAATCACCTTAACCAACAGAGACGCTAATAATCCCACCCTGTAACTGTTATCATCGGGTCATCACATTGCTCTTAACGCACATCAACCTTTTACGATTACTTTCACTTTTGTTTACAATTTGAGCGTATGCTTGAATTGAGCTTTGAACTCGCAACCTGGCTGAGAAAAATCCGAAAATAACATCCGCGAATCTACTTTTTTAGTGCAGTGTCTCATCAAGTCAAAGTGTTCTCTCCGCTCTCAAGCAATCTGTGGGTGGTATTTGTCTGCATCAGAAGTTCCGAGCCAGCTGTAGTAATTCCACATTTTATGGTGGTAGGAGGGGGG